CGGCCGTCCCCCGAGCGGGAGCGGCGCAGGAAGCGCTTCTCTGGAGAGCGAGACACAGATAGGGCACGGGCTCACACGCGGAGGCCAGGCTGGGCCGCCCCTCGCCGCCTGCCGCCTGCCCCGGCACCCCCAGGCACTCGCACAGGGAGGGGACAGCCGGGGGCCCAGCCCTAGTCCCGCCTGCCCAGAGGAGAGGGACTGATTTTCAGCCCCAGCCCTGACACCTGGTCCGGGTCTCTGTCTGGCCTCTGACCACAGCCTGGATGGGCGGGGCCTCGGGCCAACTGCCTGCTGGTGTCTGTGCTGGCCATGGCCTGGTGTGGCCCTGCACAACTGCGCAGCCCCTCTGAGCCTCAGCTTCCCCATCTCGGACGGCTGCCGAGCTCAGCCACTGCCCAGTGCTGCACGCCCCCAGGGGGACAGAGCCCTACCCTGGGAGATGAGGAAGGCCCTCCACCAGGGTTGGGGAAGGGCGGGAGCCCAAGACTGGGCAGTCAGGGAGGGGTTGCACCAGCCACTCCGTGGAGGGGAGCAGACTGCAGGGTGGTGGGTAGAAGCAGAGATCAATTAGGAAGGCTGGTCATCTAGGCCTCTGTGGCAGAGGCTGGGTAGGGCAGCTTTGGGCTCCCACCCGGGACCCTGCAGTTCCCAACAGTGACCACCAGATGGCAGGCAGGGGGCGTGGCAGAGGGGCCATCACCTAGGGCCACGTGGAGCCAGGAAGGCATTGCATTCCCCAGTGCCTGAGCAGGCATTTCTGGGGTGCCGCATTCCTGGGTGGCCCTTGGACCAATGCTGTTCCCTCGGCACAGGATGGTCCCCATCTCGCTCAGCAGGCACCTGGGGGATGCACTGGCCTGCTCTGCTGCACACAGTAGGTGCGCTGGACGAGCAGGGGGCCCTCTGTCAGAGGAGCAGTGGGGCTGGGCTCTGCCAGAATGCCAGGTGCCCCGGCCGACCCCCAGGGCGTGGTCCTCCTCTCCCGTGGTTCTGTCTGAGCTGGGGTGTCTCAGGCTCTGGGCGTTGGCACACCCCACACCCTCTGCTTGGCCAGTTTCCAAGGCTGAGCACCTGTGTCCTTCTGGGGAACATGGAGGCCTCTTGGGCTCTCACTCCTTGTGGAGCCTGCTCTGGATCCCATCTCTGTCTAGGCCAGCACGAGTGGGGCCAAGGGGTTGCTCAGGGCACCTTTGCACATGACAAAACCAATCCGGAGTGGGACCCTGGTTCTGCCATGAATTAGTCATTGGGTGGGGCAGGTTGCTTCCCTGGCCAGGCCTCAGTTTCCCCATCTGTTCACTGGTTGATGAGGCAGTGGTCATCCTACCCGCCCCCCAACTAGGGCCCAGGCAAGCCTTACCCAGGATGCAGGAGTGGGTGAAGGGCCCCTCGCTGGAGTAGAGGCCGTAGGTGCCCAGGTAGGGCGACACCACCTTCTGGATCAGTGTCTCTAGGCGCAGGTAGTCCTCAGTCACACCCCGGGACTCGTGTACCCCCTGCAAGAGAGGGAGGGAAGGTCCTCGCCACCAGAGCTGCCTTCTGCCTGCTTCTTCCCCACCCCAGCGCCTCTGAGGGCCCAGGGCAGCATCCACAGGGATCCCTGGCTCCCTCCAGCCCTCTTTGAGTCACCCTGATGCTCCGACATTCTCCACGGTTGTCCCTGCCCGAGTGGCCATCATGGTTAGGGAGGCCATGATGCACAATGGACAAGGACCTGCAGGGTCTCGACAAAAAGGGGATGGTCTTGATCAGGTCACCCCACCTCACAAGGAGGACCCCACTTCCTGGCAGTCTATCCAGTGACCCTCAGGCTTGCGAGCGGCGTTGGGCAGTCTGTGAACTTCACGCTGTCTCACTCCCCTACCTCATATGAGGGGCGAGGGCTGGGAGCCTGGGACGGGCCCTCATGTGCACTCGGACATGCAGCTGTTCAGTGCCATCAGAACCCCGGCTCTGGGACCCGTGAGAGGGAACTGTCACCCTGCAGGCCAAGCTCGGCACTCAGTAGGTCTTCAACCAGGCAAGCAGCAGGCTGTGAGCTCAGACCCACCTGGGCTGGGAAGCCGTGGAGTGAGGTGAGGGGTGGATGGCATGGCCAGAGAGGCCTGGCCCAGAACGCCACATAAGCAGGGTGGCCACCAGGGGGCAGCACCGCCCAGCCCTGGCCCATGCCCAGGTGGGGCTCCTTCAAGGTCAGCCTCTTGGTGGCAGTGGGATCCCTGCTGGTAGGGACCTGGGTTCCCATGCTCTCTTGCCAAGTAGGTCTTCCTCCCCTCGCACTGGCGTGGAAACCACAGAGGCCCAAGACCAAGCCCCTCAGGGCTGCCAGCTTCCTTCCAGCCCCATCTGACCCAGAATCGAACATCTCACTGGCAGGCTGACATCTGCTTGGTTACCAGGACAGCTGCCAGCCCCCGGACCCCCACACCGCCACATCCCCAGCCCCTGGCTCGGATCTTGGCCCACCGTCCTCTCCCCCAGCTCTGGCTCTGCAGAGCCTCGTCTGAAGGGGTTTCACGTGCACGAGGAAGTTTAGCACGAGGGGGCTTTGGGCCTGGGAGAGCCAGAGTGAGCCAGCCCTGCCCCGTCAGCTCTGTGAGTGTGGACCCCACTTCCCCACCTCTGAAGGACATGGGCAGTGCCCACTGCTAGGACAGTGAGGAGCCAGCAAACCGGCCTGGTGCCACGGCAGTGCTGGGGCAACAGCGCCTGGGAGTGGCTGTTTGCAGGGGACACTGCTGGGGCCATCAGCTCCCCTTTCTGGGGCAGGACCCTCAACCGTGTGTGATGCTGACTCTTGTAAGGTTCCCCAGAGCTGTCCTTGCTAATGAAAGCCACCTCCACGGAATGTCCAGACCTGCACATGTGCCTCACACTGGCGTGGAAACCAGTGGCCAGAGGCCAAGCCCCTCAGGGCTGCCAGCTGTGTAGCCACAGCCCCAAGGACTCACTGATGGGGTACAAAGGCCCGCCCCGCCCACAAGGAACAGCCCTGGTCTGTTCACATCCTGGGGGCCCTGAGGTGAGGTTTCTCCTGAACCTATAGCTTCGTCTGCCTTACTTTCTCGTAGGTTTTTCCTGAAGGTCCCTGTCCATTAGGGTCACCAAACCCTTGCCTCAGGCCCTGCCTCCAGAGCCGACCTCAGGCACACTGTCAGCCCCACCCACCTGCAGCACCAGCAGCATCTGCACGATGGCGGGGGGCACCCGGGCATGGGCGCGGGCCAGTGCATCCTCCAGCTTCACGCTGAGGGTGATGGTGTTCCGGAAGTGGAGCAGGGCCAGCTGGCGCACCGATGGCTCCTTGCCCTGTGGACAAGGATGTGCCGCACCCAACCCCGTCGCAGCCATGTGAGGATGCATGGCCTTGTCTCCCCACCCAGTTTTGGGGCCAGACACAGGGGGACGGCCCCTCCCACACAGCCCCCAGCAGAGGGTCCCTGTTGTTCCCTCCAGAGTGGAAAGGCCGACACCAGACACAGCCCTACTGTGTGCTGGGCTGGCCTCACCACTCCAGGTCCACAGGGAGGGGCATCCTTATCTGCACCTAGTAGGTGTGCAGGCAGGTCCCGAGGGCCCGGGTGGGTGTCTCGGGCTCGCGCACCACCCGGCTGCTCACCTGCACGGGGTAGAAGACGGCCTGCAGCGTGGGCAGCACGTCGCTGAAGAAGAAGTCCCAGGTTTCTGCCAGTGAGTCCAGCAGCTTCTGCCCTGTGGGCATGGGAGCCATCACCGCCCATCCCCAATGAGGTCTGGCACTCCTGCACTCCCCAGGACAGGTGGGTGCCCTGAGGGCCAGGTGGAGCCTGGAGCTGCCCGGCGGAGGGCAGTGTCGGCCTGTAGCTCAGCAGCTCTGTGGTGCTACTGACCAGGCAGACAGCCACGTGGGCTGCTGTTCAGGTCTTCTCCCTCGAGCCCCTGTGGCGGGGGGCCAGGCCCCTAGGCTGCCTGTGGAGAGGACTAGAGAGCCACGGAGTCATGCTCAGCAGCAGCCCACAGAAAGGCTGGAGAGGGGAGGAGAGAGGGCCAACAGAGCAGGCAGGGAGGGCTCTGGGGAGGAGGTGCCATCTCGGCACAGGTGGGGGCACATCTTGGGGTAAGAGCCCTAAACAGGTACGTGGGAGGCTCTTTGCAGTTTCTGCTGAGTGAGCCGCACTGTCCTAAGGGTGGGCGGCCCTTAGGGGATGAGGACAGCGAGGTGCTCTAAGCTAGCCCCTGGCAGCTAGCCCCTGGATCCACCAGGAGACACAACCTGTGGGGCCCTCGGCCTCTGCCTGGGCTGAGTGGAGCCCGAGATGGAGGCTTCCTGTCAAGGAATGAGCGGGCCTCGACGTGGGTCCCCAAGGCCTCTGCTGCATGGACGGGCCCTGGGTTGTGGCTGTCTCCGAGGCAGAGGAACAGTGGCCTCTGGAGGCTGGCCTCCCAGTCTGCACCGGCAGGACAGACCGCCGGGCGGTCTGTAGGTAAGCGGGGCAGGAGGCCGCCTCCAGCACCCAGGTCCATGTAGGGGGAGGCTGCCAGCAGCCACAGGCCCACAGCCGTGGTGGGGCCCACCTCCCTGTCCCTGGCGGCCACAGCTGGCACAGGCCGGAGGAACGTGCGGGACGTGGATGCGCTGCCAGCAGAGCTGAGCCCCACAAGGTCCCCTCAGTTCCTGTCCCGGCGGCAGGAAGAAAGGCAGCTCAGTTCCCTGTGGCCAGGGGCGGCTCTGGGTGCCGGCCAGGCTGGTATTCCGCTGAGCCCAGGCCGATTTCCAGCCCACGTTTCCAGCGGAAAGCCACGGAGAGCAGATGTTGAACACTGGGCCCAGGCCCGGCCAGAGCCTGCCCGGCTGGGTTCTCACAGGAACTATTCCCGGGGCTCCTGGAGGAAGCGGGGCTCTGCGGGGCTGGAGCCTGCTCTACACCTTGCTGTGGGACCCCAGGGAGTCCCCGGCTGAGCCTCAGTAGCACTCTCTGTAAAGTGGGTGTGACAGACACTCCCACATGGGGACCTGGGACAGTGCAGCGTGTTGGCCGTGGGCATCGCATGGCTGGGGGCGTGTGTGCTGTCCTGGCCATGCCAGTGCCAGGGACGACTGTGCAGGTGGGAGGCAGGAAGGGACCAGGCTAGTCCTGCTCAAGTCTCACCACCCACGGGGGAGATCCCTCGGCTAGTGGTGACCACAGGGAGCGATAAAGGTCACAGCACGGGGGAAAGTGAGGAGACCGTGCGCTTGGCCATGTGACGTGCTCCAGCTTGGACTCCCTGGGGACAGAGAGGCAGGCCCCGGGCCTGTGGCGGCAGCAGAGCAGGGACTGCTCCTTGTTCCCACGTTGCCAGCCGCTGTCCCTGCCCCGGGCGGGGTGTCTGGTGGGGGGGGGCCCCCCA